GTGCCAATTTTGACTGGACATGGTCAGTTGACTGGCTGGTATATTTAGCCTTAAAATATACCCTACCTTTGATCTACCCCCACCCACCCCTATTGGAATAATGATAGCCCCCTCCTAACATTAGTGGTTATTTGTCTTTCAGTTTTGGCAGGTGCTTTACTAGAGCATGCAGAACAGTTACTGGACTGGGGTCTCCATCCAATCCGTATTGCAGATGGTTTTGAGCTTGCTGCTAAGATAGCTATTGAACACATGGATAAAATATCTGATAGCTTTCCAGTGGATCCCAAAAACAAAGAGCCCTTGATTGAAACAGCTATGACAACATTAGGCTCCAAAATGTAGGTYCTTAGCCACTAAGAAAATGAATGTACTGTACGTGTAGTTGTCGGTCCTTGTTTTCAGTGTACTATTTTTCCATTCTAAAATTCTCATCTAAAATATACCCATACTATGCGTCCCCAGAGTAAGCAGATGTCATCGTCCTCTAGCAGAAATAGCAGTTGATGCTGTATTGTCTGTAGCAGATCTAGAACGCAAGGATGTAGACTTTGAACTAATTAAAGTAGAAGGCAAAGAAGGTGGTAAACTAGAAGATACTATTCTAGTGAAAGGTGTTGTAGTTGATAAAGACATGAGTCACCCTCAGATGCCCAAGGTATGCGAAATATATTAATATTAATATTAATATTAAATATTAATGAGTTTGATTACAAGCCGTGATCATTGTTTTGATGTTTTTGGGTGAAAATTAAAATAATTGGAATTTTTTTGATCAAACAAGTAATCCATGAGCCAAATCATGAAAAATGGTGCACACATAAAACAACTTTTCACTAACCTTGGCTTATGGACTAAAGTTAGTGTAARACATTTTAGAAGAAAACTGAGGTATGTTACAGAAAGACGTTTCAGGGTCACCTTGAACCTGAGTCAAGATGACCCCAATCCCCCTTATTTTTCTTCTAAAATGTTTTATTTTCTATTTTTTGCTTGCTTATTGCTGTGAAGCCGTAAGGTGAGCAGCAACCCTAATCTCGACACCACAGTTTTTGCATGTTGGGAACCCTGTGGACTGTATGACACCAAAATCTTGAATTCGGATCATGGTGTCGGTCCAGCCGGATTTATTGGAGGATGCTTAGAATATGCTTGGGAACCGGTCATGTGGTAGCGTGTCTTTGGAGAATGCTCGGTAAATACTCAGCTTGGCTGCAGTACATATAGATTGCAGAGTTCTTCATAAGAGGAAACGCGCATTACGTTGAAAGCACGTTTTCATTGTGGGTTGCAAGATACTTTGTGGGGTTATTTGAGCGTCTATGCTGCCCCTCGAGCTCATTTACATGAACACTGTCAACTTTAGTAGTCTGGTATTGTTGATGAATGCTTTGAAGTATCTTGGTGCCGGCTGTTGGTAAAATGTGGTCTTGCATATATCCGCAGCACTTCACTTACATTATGTAAGGACTAGTAACAACTAGATTTACAATAAATAACACAAGTCAAAAATCACAAAAGGGGGACAGCAGAGAAGAACTTAATCCTCATGTTAAGTTTTGTAACTCCCCTAATTATTTTGTTATCCAATCGCAGAGTATTAAGGATGCAAGAATAGCAATCCTTACTTGTCCATTTGAACCTCCAAAACCCAAGACCAAACACAAGCTAGACGTTGCCACAGTAGAGGACTACAAGAAACTGCAGCAGTACGAAAAGGATAAATTTGTTGAAATGGTCAAGCAAGTCAAGGATACAGGTGCTAATCTAGCTATCTGTCAGTGGGGATTTGATGACGAAGCCAATCATCTTTTATTACAGAATAATTTACCTGCTGTTCGATGGGTTGGAGGACCTGAGATTGAGGTATATATAGACCTATTTAAAAATCATTGTGGAAAATACCAAAACAATTTGTGACATTTCTTTTGTATTTTCCTATGCTGTAGCTCTAGAAAAAATAATAGACTTTATCACAGTCTTCTTATTTCAGATCTTTTCGATTCCCTTGTGTATCATTTCTTTGTTTACAATGAAGTTAAAGAAGATAAAATAATATGGATAAAACTAAAGAATTTTTTAGTTCAATTAAACACTAAAGAAAAAATCTTTATGATGATGAGGAGGAGGATGATGATTATGAAAAAACATATTATATTCTCAAGGGATTTGCACGAGAAACCATAATTTGGTCAACTGTTCTTAACAAATAAAACTGCTTTTTTCATGCTCTGTCCATTAATACAGCACATTCCTGACCGATCGAGATGGCCATACTATATATTATATACAGTAATAAAGAATTTTGAGTTTAAATTCAGAATCATCTTTTTCTTTTACAGCTTATAGCTATTGCTACTGGAGGTAGAATCGTCCCAAGGTTTTCAGAACTGACAGCAGAGAAATTAGGCAAAGCTGGTTCCGTCCGAGAACTGAACTTTGGAACGACCAGAGACAAGATGTTGGTTATCGAAGACTGTCACAACTCAAGGGCTGTTACTATTTTTATTAGAGGAGGAAATAGAATGGTAGGTACAATACTTTACTCCATTCTATCTAGTTTTTTAAATAATCTTTTTGGATTTAAATTTCATTGAGAATTTCTTCACAATTTTTAAGACATTTTTATTTTTTGATATTTAGATAATTGAGGAAGCCAAACGTAGCATCCATGATGCTCTATGTGTTGTGCGTAATCTAGTAAGAGACAACAGAATTGTCTATGGAGGAGGAGCCACAGAAATTACCTGTTCTTTGGCGGTAGCTAGCGAGGCAGACAAGGTAAGATAGCCCTTTGACTTGTAACATGTGGATTTCTCTTCCCTCTTATGATAATATTAATACTTTAATCAAATATCAAATACATGTAAATACATGACTGAAATTAGAAAAGGTGGACTTTGAGGTTAACCCTATATACGAGTCCCCTGAAAAATCCCAACAGTCCAGACCAGCTTATGCATACCTACCAAGGTTGGAAGATTCAAGTTATTGTTTGAAATTTGATTTCAAGTTTGTTTTGCAGCTTACAGAAATTGAAAATTTCAAATCAGGCCTTGATTTAAATCTCAATTTGTGAAAGGATTTTTTGTATAGGAAATCGCACAATCTCGAGTACAATTTGGAAATTAATAGACATGAGTAATGTTTTGAAAGTTCTTGTAGTTGCCAAGCCTTTAGGCGAGATCATGCGATTTTTTGTTTATAGTTCACTCAACAAAAATTTCAGTAAAAAATGYGAAACGACACCGTTCATCTTTGTCTATTTGGCGGCCGATTTTTATTCCATCGTGCAACTGAAATGCATAAAAAAGATTAGTTCTTATTAGTTTTTAAGGCTTTTTTTTGCCGCTGTTGACATCGTTTTGGCCATGTTTCCATAGCGACTTAATTCGGTACTCCTACGGAGTACAATTAACGCTATAATTGTACTTCTCTCGACCAATCAGAGTCGAATAATTTTGTTGAGTGTACTATAAGAACAATAACTTCTATTAAATTTGTTTGGTTTTGGATGTGTCAAATGTTAGTATTGCCAAAGCGCATACCTAATCTTGGAGGTAGCGGTGAGCTGGTTTGACTGTCATGGAGTTTTTATTTATTCTGATCATAATGTTTGCATTAGCCACATAAATTAAATACACGTCATTTGTTACTTTCTAGATCTCTACAATTGAGCAATATGCCATGCGTGCATTCGCTGATGCCCTGGACAACATCCCTCTAGCCTTAGCAGAGAACTCTGGTTTGAACCCTATACAGACCGTAGCAGATATCAAATCTAAGCAAGTAGCTGAGAAAAACCCAAGACTGGGAGTGGACTGCATGGATACTGGCATTAATGGTAACATATAGTATAGTTTTGTTATTTACCCCTCCCCTCCCCTAGATGGGCTACAAGGGGGAGGGGAATAAATACTGGCATTAATGGTGACATATAGTTTTGTTACTTACCTCCCCTTCCCCTCCCCTAGATGGGCTACAAGGGGGAGGGGCATGGATACTGGCATTAATGGTAACATATAGTTTTGATATTTACTTCCCCTTCCCCTCCCCTAGATGGGCTACTATTTCCTTAATTAAAAGGGGGAGGGCCAATGATATTGCTAATCTCTTCATACACCTCCCTGTCTCTTAAAGTCCATGTAGGGGTCTGTTGGTGATAGATTTGAAAATGATGAGCATATAGCTGGGGTTAATAACCGTTCTATTTTAGTATCAGTCTGACATGAGGAGGTATTAGATATTAGCCTGTCGAGCCGGTATGATGAACGTTTGCTAGAAGTTACCATTGGCCTAAAAACATGTGTATAAACATTTGCTGAATACAGTAGTTAAATCAAATTCTGCTCATTTACATCATTAAGTAAATCCATTAATCATCTAAAGATCAACGCATAGACTATTGAATATAGTTGCAGTGTGTTTGTCAGTGTAAGTACGCCGTATTGGAATACAGATTTGTCAAGTTTGTCACTCAATGCCGGAAACAAAAACGGAGAGTTTTTTGGCAGGCTGGTCGTTCTTTTGCGAGTTTGTCGCTTCTTCTTCT